TGTTGATAACTGCTCAAACTGGAGGCCAAAGATAAGAGGATACACTTTTTTTTTTCTTTTTGCAACTATTTTCCTTTTGGCCTGCTCGTCTCTTCTGGGACTATTCAGGCTGGAGAGACTACAAGTAAGTAGTGGCAAATGACCCATGACACTCAGTTTTTCCTTCAGTCCTGAATGAGGCAAAAAAAACTTGAGTGTTGTCTTTACATTTTATTTAGAATCAGTGTTATTGTAGTTGCCCCCCTGTCTAGGTAAAGGTCCCATGTGGTCCTGGGGGATGTAGTTTAATGTGGAGTTCTTCTTGTCTACCACAAGCAAAGCTCTGGGTTTGATCTGTAGCACCCCCCCCCCCCAAAATGTTTCCACAGAAATACTCAGGGTATTCCCAGACTATGGCCACAGGGAATTCAATTCAGTTCACTCCTCTGAGTCCTTTCCCAGATAAAGGTGGTGAGCTCTAAGCTAAGATCCTCAAATCCTGGAATTTTTGTGTGTCACATCTCTGACTTGCACCATAGCTCACAAGACCTGACTTTCCTCCTCTCCAAGTGGACTCACTCTCTAAGGCCTAGTATTGTGACTCTCTTATCTACGACGGTGCTCCAAGTCATTCCATACACCAGCCTCCCGATACACACCATGGCTCAGAAGTGACACTGAGAACTCCTGTCTGCTTTAGGTTATTAGCTCCATGATACAAGTAATCTAGATTCGTATTTTTTGTGACCTCCTAAAACATATGGAATTAGGTTGATTCTGGACACTGCATACTTTTTAAAGCCCACTGGATCTTAAAGTTGCATTAAAAAATGAAATAAAAGTCCGAGGTATGTAATGAGATGGCAGCGGAGTCTGTTCCTGATGCCATTGACTTATTTGATTTTCCAGGATTAATTTTAGCCTCGAAATTCTACCCAGATTATTCTGAATATCTCACTGTCCCACCCCCAAAATTTTAACCTCTGTTCTGAAATATAGCTACTATTATCAACAGAAGCATCCTGTTTGTTCAGTAGCTTATTGCTTAACATACGTGTCAAGTGAAAATAAGAACAATGATAAGGATTGATAAAACACCAACAGTCCGACTCTGCATGATATACTTCGTGTAGTAGTTTTCTGGTTGACATGACAGAAATATCCGACAGAGTGATATAGAGAGGGTGAGCAGCTTTTGACTCAGAGCTCCAGTGTACATCATGGTGGGGGCAGGAATGGCAGCGAGAGAATGAGGCAGCTGGTCCCAGTGCATCCACATTCGGAAAGTGGGGAGAAATGACTGCCTGTGTTCACCTTTTTATTCATCCCAGAACTCCAGCTAATGGAAAGATCCAGCACACACCTAGGATGTGTCCTTCTAAACCAGCTAATCTAGAAAACTCCCTGATGGACATGCCTGAAGACTATTTTCATAATTATTCTAAATGTCTTCAATTCTATCCTGATATTGGCAAAGGCCTGGAAACTTAAAGCAATAGGTGATGGTATAGATAACACAAGCCTGGTTCAAGCCCCATCTTATGAGAAACTGATGATGGCTTCTGCTTTATTTCCATTAAAAGATTGTCTGAGAGCCCGGGGAGTTGCCACTCTGCTAAAGAAACCCACAAGGGAAATTCTTGGTACCCCATGGAAAGACACATCTACATGACTATCTGACTTTGTAAATTATGATTTCTAATGACAGAGTTGTTTATTAGTTGTCGAGTTAGGGGAAAGATTTTGCTTTCAGCAATAATAATTTAAATGTCCTGTGATCTATCTACCCAGGATCCCTTAGGTAGTGTGCGAATGGACTGGACGTTAAGTCCAGGCTATCATTACATGATGGTTGTGCCAGTGGAAGAATGTCTACACACCCTGAGTACTGTAGAAGTAGAGCATATTTCCGGCATCGTACTTCTGCTTACTAAGTGGTTACAAGACAGGCTTTATTTGCTATCTTGTAAGACTTACTCAGTGCCTGCTGCATATCTAGTAAATGCAAGACTTTTATTGAAGATTATTATCTGCCCGCCTGGCTTCTTAATGTGCACTTTAGCTGACTTTTTCCCCCTCTAAGTTGAGGGGAACATCTTGAAGTATTCTTTTTTAATATCAGGGCAAGATCCCCTGCTTGGGCACAATAGCTGTGAGTAATTTCACACAGCCCATGCCATTCACAGGCAGTTCTCCACCCCTATCAGTAACAGACTGATCTATCGCAGAGATCAAAGCACCAATTACTTCCAAAAGACTGGAGCATTGGAGAGCTGTATCAACTCACAGACGATTTGTTCGCATTCATACACCGCGAAGAGGAGCACTAAAAGCACTTTCCGGTTTCCCTTTGATCTGATGTGAACACTAGCCAAGGTCCATCAGAGATGAACTCCTCAAATGAGTTTTTCTCGGCTTAGGCTTTAGAAAGGAATCAGGGATTTTTTTTTTTTTTTTTGGAATAGTGACATTTTTAGGCTTGTAGTCACACATGCTTAATTGTTTTTTCTCCCAGAAGAGTCTCTCTCATTTTAGGACAAGATGCTTTAATGATGATATCAAAGTGAAGAGCAAAGAACGGAACAGCGCTTGTAAAATGGTCTGCATGTGTTTTTTTTTTTTTTTTTTTTTTTTTTTTTTTTTTTTTTTTTTTTTTTTTTTTTTCTGAGACGAAAACTGAATGATGGACTGGTGGACAGGAAACTTAATCTTTCCTATTTTCTTCTTTGAAGTACCTCTCAGAGATCAAAGCTTCCTGGGTCCTCTTTATCTAAGGAAATTGGAGGGGTCTTACACTGGATGCATTTGAAGCTGCTGGGTCTGATGGTCTTCACTATGTCCGGCATCTAAGACTTGTCCTAAATCTTTGAGCAGATTTGATGCCCTCTGTAGACTATACTTAGGCTAGACTAAGCTTAGCTATGAAGTTTGTGAGCTTTCATAAAGTATGAGGCAAGACTCTTGTGCTAGCTGGTGAGAACAAAGGCACCTAAAAATTTTCCACTCCGCTTCTTCTTAAGTTCCTCTTTACAGAATCCTGGGGCTTCTGGATTCTTTGGCCTAAGTCTAATCAATTTGGCAAAGCTGCTGACTTTCCTCCAGGAGTACATATTTACAAACTCGTAAAAACAAAGAGTGTCAACAGATTTATAACCCATCTTTATAGCCTTAGTGGAGGGAGAAAGGAAAAGCATGTAAAGATGTAATCCAATTTTCGCCAGTCTCTGAAAGAAGAGCAGCTCACCAGAGGGAAGCTATTGGAAAGGGCACTCTCCAGACCTTACTTCCTCCAAGAGACATCCCAGTCTTAAAGGTAAATCACTAGCGTGCCGGTTGTAGAAAGAGTCTAGAAACTCAAACAATCTGCCCATTTTGTGTATTTACTGTGAGAAGGGAAAAAAACCAATGGCTGAAGATGACCACATATTGAGGCAATTCCCAGAATCCCTGTGTAGCATTAAATCCACTTGTGGTCCGTAGAAATCTGGCCCTAAAACAGACTGCAGAATCAACCATTCCTATGGAGAAAAAGCCATTTGCTCTTCGGCTTCCCACAGAGCTAGGAGAATATACTCTGACAGAAGCACACCAGATCTGCCAAGACCTGTGCAAACAGAACTATCCTTTTACCAACAGTAAACAGATCCGTGTTTGAACTATAGAGAGTCATAATAGAAATATATATTGCCTTTTATCTTCTTCCCAGTGAGTGGAGTGAGGTGTCAGGAGTTATTGCTGTAATATCAGTGAAGAAGTACTATTTTTCTCTTTCGGGTATGTGCGTAGGTATGCATGGAATAGCACCCATGATTATAGGACTGCTCTGCCAGCCAGGTTCTCAGCAGCCTTTGGAAAACACATAAAATGGCCTGAGAGCATCACAAGAACACACGGCTTCTAATTGTTCTTAGGGGCCACAAAAACAGCTGTGTGCAGTTTTCACTCAAGTTTGAAGAGAAAGAATAAAGAAAGCCAACATGCTGCCACACAGCTAAGTCACATAGCATAATTTGAAAGATTAAAAAAAATACATGGATGAGTTTTAATTCATGATTCACTATATGTTTACAGTGTCCACTGGAATGGGTAGAAAAGTGATTTTGGAGACTACTGTGCTCCTGAATCGTGTGTGAAAACTGAGAAGCAAAAGAGAGAAGTACAGATCTACTGATTTTACAAATAACTGACCAGGGTAATGTGGTTTCCACAAACATTGGGTTGCTTTCTTTGATGCCAACGCATTTAAGGTTAATAACTCAATTAACCTCCAACCCACCTACTAACTAGATTTATGAACTGCCAAGGGAGTTGGCTAAGTATTAAGCTTTAGCTTGTATATAATTTCTTTCAAGTAAACAAAAAAAACCTTACCACAAAATTAAGAACTTTCTGCCTAGCTGAAATCAATCCTTTTCACTTTGTAATATAATCAGTATATTAGTCAAATAAAGTAAACAAAATGGACCCAAAATATCAAGCCATTAATTAGGACTTAATGTCAAACACAAAGACTATTATTCACAAGGAGTGGTTGAGCTTCTTGTTTTAATTGTCCTTGATTTAATGATAGCCATTGACCTTAATAATAAGCACTTTGAATTCTACCAAATATACCTGGAGGATATAAACAGAATTCAACCAGGGCACAGACTTGCTTACGGTAACACACCTTTCTTCATCCCTTCCCACTTTCTGCTATGTGAAAAGAAAATCTAATACAATGAGAGGAGAAGAATGTTTTGTAACACAAGTGCAATCTGTTCATTTTGAATAATAGCTTTTCCATTCCAGTGATAAATGAAAGGGATAATACGTGTTAGCTCATGAATGCCACAGAACTTCTCTAATTTTCTCAGTCATCGCTTACTCGTCTCCAGTCTTAGGTCTCATTACCATGAATATCTTCATCCTTCCTTCACAGACAGTAATACAAAGTCCTTAACTACCAAGAGCACTGACCACAGCAATCCTGCTGCAAAGTCAAGAAAGAAGAACAATATCAGAACAAAAGAAAGGCTTACCTGAATGCTGGCTGTAGAGCGATTCTTGCGGGTGGTGGTGGTAGCCATAGTGGTGGTGGTTTCCATGACAGTGGTAGACATTTCAGGGGGCATGGAGGTCGTCTGTGTTGTTCCCGAGACTGATGGGACTTCTCCCACTAGCCGAACACTTCCATTGATTCTAATATTAGGGTTGTTCTCAGCGGCCATGTTCAGTACTTTCAAACCATCATAATAGAGCCCAGAGAGTTGGCCTTGGAAGAGGCGTCCTTTGTCCTTTCCTCCAATGGCTATTTGAGCCTGGGTGTTGAAGATGGTTAACTGCCGGCCTAGTGAATTAGGTGGAGGAAATACTATTATTCCCATACATTTCTGCTCCTTGTCTTACCTAGTCTGTATGGAGCAGGCATCTAATAGGCTTCCTTGAACAACAAGTGGATAAAATTTACAGGAAAAATTCATTACTGAGATTGGTGAGTAACATTTCATGATGCTTATCTCTTCCACTGTCTAGATAAACATCCCAAGTTACCAGAATAACTGAGGATTTGCCCCATTCTAAGGAGGAAGACCTCTTGGTTTAAACATGAGCAGTGTTACAGTCTCCTGAGACATATAATCTAGGATGGCAGAAACATCCAGTTCATATCATGACCAGAATGAATCACAGATGCCCAGTGCTCTGATTTTAAGCTGCATGGTAACGTAATGACAACAGAAAAGAATGATATGCAGCAAACAAAACCTCAAAGAGGTGATTTAGAGCACTGAGTTTAAAAATTAGGTTCAGTAATTAAATGAAATTTACTGGAATTAGACTGCAATTAAGAGGATCGGATTCATTGCATGCTCATAAAAATGGACACTCTAGTCACCAGGAACAGAGATTTCCATAAATCTTCACCATGAGTAATATTGTATCAGCATTTGTTATTTTAACAGCATCATGATAGATGTATAATTTGGAGGAAGGTTTGATCAGTCAATAGATCATTCTCTAAGATGGGGGGTTAATTAGGCACTGAAAAAGCTTCTAGAATAGAAATGGAGGTGGGGATGAGGTGATTCTAAAATAGTTTTAAGAAGATTCGGTGAGGGTAATAAAATATATTATGTACATGCATGAAATTATCAAATAATAAAATTAATCAATAAAAATGAATTATAAAAGGAAGATGAGTACAAAGAAAATAACTTATAAACTTCCTTGCATGATATAGAGACATGACAATGGATTGTAAAATATCAATAGCTAATCTTATTTCAGGTTTTCTGTGGGTACCAGTTTTACTTCTGTGGCAGAAAAAAAAGCAATCAAAAAAATTCGTGGCAGAGCAGTTTAAAATGGAGCATTCAACAAGCTAGGCTTCTTTTCAAAGATTTCTACTTATTTTCTAAGTCAAACTAGGTCTTTTCCATGGGAGGAAACAGCTTTTCAAGCCTCATTGTAATTTATCATGACAGCAACATGCTAAGGTCTTCCTTCATGTTATCTCTTTAGATTAATTCCATTTGCTTACCCACATGGAGTAGAGGTGGGAAAACCGTAAAGTTAGATACATCCATTCTGGAGTTTTCTTTAGTCAGCGATCAACAAATCTAGTACTTCTTTGTCTTATCACCTAGATTATTTTATCTGTAAATAACTGAAAACAATTGTTTGCTCCTCATGCCTGCTTGGTAAAACATGTGTGCTCTCCACCTTCAGACTCTAAATAAAGGTATGTTGCAGGGTTTGGGTTCTCAGCATTTATCACTAATATATTAAGCTCAGGTTTACACAATGCACAACTAGCCTGAATTTCTGGAACAGAAGGTGGGTATACATTTTTGATGTATACTACCAGAAGGTCTGGAAATAAGGGGAAAGGAAACTGCATATTTCCAGAGCAGACTCTTCAGACAAGTGTCAGCTTTACTATCTGGTCAATACTTAAGGGTTATTAATTGAACGATTTATAAATAATACTACTCTGCTTTTAGACTGGCGGACTTTATTAGGGTAGAAATAATATACACTTCATAAGAATCTTGGAACCATTCAAAAGAATATCATACTTTAATGATAACAAATTTCCTAGGTCCCAGGGATGTAATCAATTCTTTCCATTCTTTCCCAAGAATTCCTTCTATGTCCTGTGAGTTGGTGCCATTTGACAGTTGTATAATTTTTGTCTCTGTTCCCTTCACACGAGATGTAACATGTTCAGTGCACAAAAGAACTTCTTTCTTTGGGAGCCATACACTTACTATAATACAAATGGGATAATAAAGGTGGAGAATAATTTTTACTTAACTTCATATCAGCATGTGAAGCATCTTAACATACTGATTTAGAAGAAAGTGTATGGTGGGGGATTTCCAGGATATAACTTTCATATCTTAAACTAGATAGCCTCCATGCAAGGTAGCTTTTATATATGAACAACTGTTTCCCATTTATGACTTTATCTCTCTCTTTCTGTTTTACTCTCTCCCCATCTTCCTCCCTTTCTCTTCCCTATGTAGCCCAGCATTGATGATTAGTTAATGGCTGAGTAATCTTGATTATATATAGAAGATTTTATTCTAATATCCTTGCAATGCTTCATAACAATAGCCTCTTATAATGGCCCTCATCTTACTTTCTTGGGAAGATTCATTTTGCCAGCACTTAAAAATAAAAAGACAGTCAGAGAAAATTGAAATTCAAACTGCAGTGATGGATCACCTTCATTCTGTTTTCTATAGTTCACTCCATAAAGTGGTCATTGCTTATTCAGGAATGACCGGAGAATGAGTAAAGGCAGGGCATGTTTGAGGCCATTAGACTGAGGAGTTGCTTTATTCTTGGTTATCATTGCTTTGCTACAGAGACCTGATCACTCACTTCACTGGTGAGTGAGACAGAGAAGGGGGCTATCCAAGATTCAATTTCTCTTCATGCCATAGGAAGTGCGTTCGGGTTTCTGTTAGCTTATTTGCTTGATAGGTTAGATCTTTTTCCTTTTGCTTCACAACCTTCTCCTAGCCCTCTGCACTTTTTCTAGGTGGTTAAGGACAAAACTAGAAATCACTGTAGGAAGAGAGCACTCTGTCTCCTGCCATGTCTTCCTGCTACTACCTCATCTCTCTTTAGCTGCACAGGAGGTCATGAATAATGGGGAAACAGTTTCAGCACCTTCTCCTTATGAAAGATGTACAGAACTGACAGGAGAAGTTTCTGTGGTTTTTTTCTTTTTCATTTGCCCAAGGTGCTTCAAAATCTATGCCTGAAATCATTCTCATTGTTGTCATTGATAATGTGTGATTTTTAGAATAAAAATATCATTATATATATATGCATTTGAGTAAATGTGTGCTATAAATATATATGCATATATTTTTGGAATCTGAGAGTTGTTCTACCAGCAATAACATGAAATTTGATAAAAACACCAGTGCAGTATTCCTAGCCTGTAACTGTTTATTTCATTTTAGATGCACATCCTTTTGGAAGCCAACATTTGTTGTTTCATTTTAACACCAAGTTCACATAGGCTTAGATTAAATCTCTGCACGTCTCTAGTCAGTGTTGCACAAAAACTAATTAATTAAATCTCAGAATACCCTGGGGGAATAGGCAGTATTATTTCTCCTCTCCTCATTTGGGAAATCTGAGACACAACGAGGTTAAGTGGATTGTCTAAGGTCAGAAAGTCAGTCAATAGCAGCCAGCCAGCAAACAGACTTGGGAATGCTGTGACCCAGCTCTCCTCCCCAGTGACAGAAGTAACTCCAAAGAAATGCTCCATGTACTTCTAAAAGCACCTGTCCAATCATCCTATTTATCTATTCACCCTTTATATATTCTCATCTTCACAAACAAGGTAGTTCAGTGCAATTTTTTTATTCCATTTGAAAGTGAAGTTAGCTAGACAGAGGAAGAGGTAAAGAGAACAGATGCTACTCACCCAGATTACATAAAGAGCAATTTCAGGGAAAACAATAGGAAAAGATAATCTTGCACTTTGCAATAAGTTGTCCAATAACATGATAGTACTATACTTATATGTTGAATAAAGAAGCCAAGACACCCCCACCCTGACCACCCTTTCCCATCCCAGCATTCAATATGTGTACAAGATCTTCTATTTACACAGAAGCCAGCTGATAATGAAGCTAGCAGAAGGAAAACTAAAAGCCTACTCACTGCTTTATAATGGGTTGTACAAATGAAAATGCCTGGCATGCTATTAAACTTAGACTTCAAAAGGCAATGGTATAAAATAAAATACTATTAACAGAAAATTGAAAGAAACAAAAAGTTCTCTCAGGCACATGAGACTCCGACATGCATCTAATTCTCTGTCTTAAAAATGAGGCAGTTGTTGTCTTTAATGTTAAAGGGACTTTATGAGCTGTTGATTACAATCAAAATTATTTGCTTTTTAGAGTTATTCTTAATTTATTTTTAATTAGACCACATATGTTGAAAACAGGGCGTGCAGTTAAGGTTTGGTAAGGATTTTTTATGTCTGAATGTCTGAATGTTTTCACCCAACTAAAAATCACACACAAGTGTCCTTTGTCTTGGTGTTGGTATATTATGTAATAACCCCAATTACTCCTCATATGTGACTCAGTCAAATCTCTGCAAAATGTAAGGTGCTCTTTTAGATCTTGAGGCAAGAGCTAGCTTATGCTGTCTCAAGAAAGCACAGAACTTCGAATTTTCTTGGAGATAAGAAAATTGGCTTCATCGAAAGATAACAGGTTATCTCGTAAGCAAAAGAAAGCTCATAGAAAATTCTGCCAGGATTCCTAACTGCGGCCCTTGTTTGTCCACGGAGTGGTTGTTTCTGTCAGAAAATCAGAACTTGCCTCGTTGCTTTTCACCAGACTTTTCCCTTCCCAACTCATTGCCTTAACAACTTACACTTGGTTGCATAAAACATCGTAGGAATGCACGAGGGTATCACACCACCAACGTGGAAAACAAGTTTGCTTCGTTTTAGTCTCCTGCAGCAACTGGAATGTAATTAAGCTCTCCTAGAAACTTTCGCCTCTGATGGTTTGAGTTTAGAGGCAAAATCTGTTCTTTCTCAGCCTTTTCTTTGTTTAAAAACAAATGTTAACACATACTGCTTCCTGTACCACATCTGTTTTAAGCAGTTTAAGTTACAAGACTTGATCGAAGATATTTTTGGTTTTTTTTTTTTTTTTTTTTTTGTTAACCACGCTATAGACAGTAAAGCCAAAACAGCCTCAAGATGTAAGTTTAATGGGTTCTTTTGAGAATTCTTTAGAAAGCTTTGGTAAGAGGTAATTTAAAACAAATTAACAAATAATGTCATGCAATGGTTAAATTGCCATAATCCAGTTCTCCCTCTCTCTCTCTCTCTCTCTCTCTCTCTCTCTCTCTCTCTCTCTCTCTCCCTTTCTTTTAAAGAGCTTTGTGGAATTTGTTGTCTGTGGCTGTCATGTGGGCAGCAGGCTAGATGTTAGTCCCTTTAACTGTGTTTTAATGGCGATGTATTATTGCATGATTTATCAACATATGGCAGGTGGAAGCTGACACAAATTATAATGAAAATTAAAACAGTCATTTATGCAGCAGGCGATTATCATTTAAGGAACATTTATTCTGCAGGCTTTAAAAACGAGGGTTTAGAATCAAATGATTTTAGAATGAAAGTTTTAACGACCGTTACCTTTTTCCTGCAGCCACTCCTCTACGGGCCGGTTATATTTGAAGGGGATTTTCTGTTTTACCATTTGGAGGCGTTCATTATCAGTGTTGCCTTTAAAGTTTAAAAAACAGCTTAAAGAACAATCTGAAAAGTCAATAGGTCATTAAAAAAAACATCCTAGGTCTTCAGTTTGTTTTATGAAGGTTTTTAGAGATAGATATCAATTTATCTTTAGTAGAGGTGGAGTTGAAGCCGCTCTGCCCTCGGAGGACGGGCCTGAGGTCAGATTGATCTCAGCTGTGCAGTACTCCATCATGTTGTGGTCACGTGATTTGGGATAGCGATCTGTAAGCGGTTGAGCTATTTAAGGAAATCTCATTACATTTTCACCCTATCTCTTCTTTCTTCCATCTACCACTGACTTGGTCCCAGTGAAATTCAATGATCTCATTGAGTTGAATAATTCTACTACCACTGCCACGTCAACTGCACAATGAAAAGGTAGCATCCAGCTCCTCAGTTAGTGTTTTCCCAATGGGATCCATTTAGGAGCAAAGTGCCCTTCTGCTCCTCTCAAGCATCTGTACTTGCAAGCTCTGGATTCTAGAAAAAGGCACCAGAGATAATGATTAAATCCCTGCTAGCCATGGGAGACTGGCCAAAAAACATTTTCAGGGTTTTGTTACATCCTTTTGTTTGTCTGGTTGGTTTGGTTTTCTGAGATAAGGCTCTGTATTTCAGATTAGCGTTGACTTATGGTAGCTCCCCTGTCTCACCCCCTAGTGCTTGGATTAAAGGGAGATGTCTTACTCCAAAAGAAAACTCTGATGTTTCTGTACTTATGTGAAACTGGCGGAGTCATACAGGTGGCACAGTAGACCTCCATCTTTTCTGTTGCGCATTTTAAGCAGATGGAACCCACAGAGAACATAACTTCAGGCAAAGGAAGTTATACAGCTATATAGTATTTACAGGGTTTTAGGCACTTACATTTTATTAGTGCTAGACCATGCTGGCGCAGCTGTTCATTCTCGTTCTCTCTTTTTCTACCTTCCTCCCTCTTTCTATTCTGTGAAAGGGTTGTCTTGAACATGAGTTTATTCAAAAAGCCTGTTAGGAATATTTCTACCAAGCATGAAATATCAAATTAGTTTCAGGCTCAAACATTGTGTTTAACTGATGGTGTGGCCCCTCTTCCTTTTGTAACTGCTATTACCACTCCTGGGTGGTTCTTCTAATTAGGCGATACTTGGAAAGTGGTGGTGTGAATTTACACCCCTAATGAATATGCTTCCGATAACAAAATAATGAAGGCATGCTTGGGGAACTGTTTTAGCTCATCAGCCAACCTCACATTGATTTAGTACGAAACAGCGCACTGTAATTCATCATGTTTGGTTCAGAGCTCCGTATTAAAATTTAGGGAACTCCATTCCAACTTACTGATATTTTAAAAGGGAAATAAAAATTTTGAAACAGGGGGCTCGGGAGGAAAGTACAGAGAAGCCTGGAAGCCAGAGCGAATATGAGGCTGTAGCATCGTATCAGACCAAGTAAATAGAAGTGAGCCATGGCACTTCAATCACAGAGCCATTGCAATGAAGCAGTAATCACTGGCGGAGAAGATGTCTCATGTGACAGTTAGGACCTGCTTGCTGGGCTTGGAGGGGGAAGATAAGAGAATCCAATAGAAACTGGGTAGTACTATCAGAGGCTGGTTGCTCCTCTTAGTCTTCTCTAATGAAGACATTATTCTAAATATTTGAATCTTCTTTCCTGTTCTGGAATTTAAACAAACAAACATGGCTCATGAGAAGCAACTATAGGTATGATTCTAGCCCACAATGTAGATTTCTATCTGCCTGCATAAATTATAACATACCAACATATCAAAGGGCAGTTGTAGTTCATTGGAGGCTTTCTTGTCCAGCAACTCAAGACCTAAATTGTTGCCTGGGACTACCAAACAAACGAAAACTTATTGGGGGATTATGTAGATAAAGGGAGCTGAATAATTAACAGTTTTTGGATTTTCATGGATAATTTAAAGCTTTACTCTAAGTGCAGCAGCTGTCCCAATACGGCCATTGTGAAGGACACTGGCTTAACTGTACCATATAACTCCAATTATTGATTGTGATGATTGTTGTCCTTGGAGGACAAATGTTATTTTGTATTCTATTAGTACAAAATAAATTGAGTAGCTTCTCCAGTGTTTTCATAGAAAAGGGGTACTTTTCTGAAAAGAACCCACACACCTAACCCAGCAGGTGACAGCTAAGGTGTACACTGTGAGGTACCACAGCACAATGAGATGCCACACTGAGGAATGACAATCAACTGTGCTGGGTTCACCTTTGATAAATTTTGCTGCTTTGAGTTTTCTGCATTTATCACCAGTGTGGACTCTGTGACTAAACACGGTGCTGATTTTCACTCTCCTCCCTGGAATGAAAGAGTAAAGTCAAAAAGAAATAGAAAGTGATAAATCTTACTAACCCGAAGGGCAACTGCAGAAATAACAACTAAAAGTTCCAAATTGTCAGTGGTGTCTAGGTACCAAGTTAATTAATTGACAGGCTATATTGATTTACCTTCTCTAAATAGATAAGGTTCTTAGCTCTCCCAAAGATCCCAGCATCCGTGATTCACCCCCCTTGAACTATAAAGCAGTGTAGGAAATCATGTAGGGACACAGTAAAGGCTGGGAAGAGAGGAAGCTCTGGGGTACCCAATGGAGAAAAGCACAGCTGGAATCAACCTAGGACCTCTCTGAAAGCATAAAGCGAGAGTCCATTCTTCTCCACCTCAGCTTTAAACACATTTAGAAGCATGTTTTAGGTCTTGCGTGCCAGACTGATACCATCTGGTCCCTAGGACAGTGATCTAGCACACTGTTAAAAGCTGTGAGAGATGGAAGGCCATTTGGAAAGCACATCGATTTAAGTCACCACATTAACACAGTTCTTAGTCTCTTTTCATGTTCTTGTTGGCTTTTATTTTAATTTCTCTAAAACACTAGTAAAATCTGTTTAAGAAACACATGCAAGTGAATGAGATCATATGCCCTGAACCCCCTTCCATAGATTGATGGGAGGGCGGATCTTTATATAAGAAGCCATACAGAGGACTATTCTGATAGCTGCACAAACCTCTTTAAATTCATATACATTGTTATTAAGTACACAACGATACTAAGTTGTACATGTCATATAACAACTAATATAGACACTTAAAGAGACGAATTGATTATTTAACAAAAAATATGTTATACTCAGGATAGAATGGCCTTATGAACAGTAATGTCCTTCAAATAAAACATATATATTACCAGTTTGACAGAAACATCAGTTATTTACCACATGGAGAAACCCATTAATTATATAGAGAGGTCTTAAAATAAGTACTTAAGCTAACTATATGAATCTGACATCTACATAGAATGGAATTTACGGAAAACAAATAGTCATGTTTTAGCCTACCTGAAATAGAATTTGCACACGTTTATTCTCTGCCACTCTTGACACGGTATTGAAATTTTTATACAACTGGTTTCTGACAGTCACTAACACTAATAACAAGTAGTTCTACTTCTGGAGACATGTCCAAAATGCACTGTGAAATTATAACATTGTGGAGAGCCGAAGGCTCTGAGTCGAATCACTAAAGCCCAACTGGTTCATACACATAGCCCTGAGCATCATCTAGAACTACCTCACAGTTCCCACTTTGGGATTAACCCTCTGAGGGTGAAAGTAATGGAATCAAACTAAGGTAAGGTGAGTAAGGTGAGGGAAGCATGCGGCTTTTCATTTGGTCCCCAGCTTGTATCAGTATCCCTTTAAGATGAGGACTTGAAATTTGCTAATCAACCCAGTAAATAAACATAATATAAAATTAAAATAAAGATAAAAATATCCTTCAACTGGATAATTGAATGAATACAAGAAGGAAATTCTTACATAGAATAGAAAGTAGTATGTCTAGCACTTTGACCCAAACATGGGCTACTTTGATAGGAGTCATGTTAATTTTTTAAAAAGCTCTAATCAATACAGTGTCAAAGTTTAAGCTATGGAATTTGATATATCTATTTTAGAGTTGTAAATTTACCATTTATTAGCTCTATGTCTTTGGGGAAGTCACTTATCATTAGACTCTTCCTGTTTCAGTTCACCATAGGACTTAACGCTGACTTACAGGGGGTAAAATATACATAATCACTGATATAGAAAACACTAAATTTATTTGTGAGAATAATATTAATAAAACTTATTTCTCCTGTGATCCAAAATAAATCACACTAGTTCTAGGGTTTGTGTCCATGATGTTCAAACTTTATCAGTTGTCATTCAAAAGTTGACTATATCCCATTGGGACTCACAAAGAACAACTGATCGTAAAACAAGTAAAAACATTGCAAATGTCCCTCTGAATCGCCAGCTCTTGATGTTTATATTTCTGTATTTTCTAAAATATATTCAGCTAACTCTATTTCCAAAGCAAAGTGGGTTTCTAAAACCACTGAAAGTAAAAGAGCAATTCAGGCACTGACAAATGGGATTTCTTGGCCCAGCCACAGGTAATGATGATATAGTACCACTGAGTTGAGGTGGAGTATCTTAAAGGTTCTGGCAATTTGCACCGGACGGGCATAAAGTGCTTTTCTGCAAGTAGACTATTAATACCATCTGAAGCGTTGTCAAGCAAGTAGCCATGCTGATAGGAATAACTGTAACAACATTCACCTGCATAAAATTAATGCCAGAGGTGTTTTGGCATTTTGTTTTGAGCTCTGGAATGAGGAAAGGAAAGTTTTCTTTATTGCTCTGTCAACAGTAAAGAAACAAGAGCGCGAGCCTAATGAATAGTTGGAGACTGAGGATATAGACTACAGCTGGTGGCAAAAGAAAATCGATGCTGGTAGCTTCCGTTGTAGGGCAGTTCACAGTTTCTAGCCATGCCCGTGTCCCCCAAGGAACACTTTGTGAGTTTCAAAGAAAATATATAACACTGAAGAAAAAGCACCAGGGAACTCTCTGAATGTGGCTCTGGCCACATTCCTGGAGCTTTCCCTAAACAGCTCTCTTAAGAGTCAAATGGGTAAGTGT